ATCCTCCACTATGCGACTCATGCAGCGTTCCTTTAACCGTCAACCACATCATCACCGAATGTCACAAATACAACCAATATCGAAACCAATTCCACATCTCCGAACAAATCTGTCAAGCACTTGGACCAAACCCACAGGACATTAAAAACTTAATTTTATTTTAAAAAAAAACTGAATTGTATAATTTAATTTAATGTAAAAATGTAAATACTTAAAATACCAACAATGTAATCAAAAAAAATTCTTGTACTAATGGCCTAGCTGTCGATGTGTTTTAGATCAATAAAAAAAAAAAAAAAAAAAAGTTTACTTTATTTGACATATAAGTAATAATACTGTATTAATCACTACAAAATCTACTAATAAGGCTCCTTATAACAGTCTCTGACAAACTATTATCTAATGATGGTAAATAATTTATGCTGATAACACTGCGCGTGTAGGATCGTATTTAATAATATAACCTAAAACCAGTAAAATCAAACACTATTTCCATCCGGCTATTCAGATGTTTACTATACATTTATACAAGTAACTAATATCCAAAGAACATTAAAGCATATACTAATTAAAATATCTTCTGTATCTCTTCCTATCTACCCTACTATTAATTCAAAACTAAAAGAATATTTTAAATATTTTGGCAAAAAATTTTGATAGACGATTTCCATGCCATAACACTCTTTAACGGGAGTATATTATCATATGATAATCCAAGAGAAAAAATACTTTGAAAAATTCGTATCCAATTACAATTATACACACATATTCTTAAATAGCCCCATCTAATGGCCACAACACTAAAATAAAATCCTAGGCATTTTAGATTTCTGTATTTCAACATTATCTATATATGTAAAATTAACTGTTACTAACTTAAATGAACTTAGCTCCTCTGACCACACTTTTGTCTCCCTTAAATTAAACGAAGCTCCAAAATTATATCCTATGCAGTATACATCATTCTTTATTACAAGGTTTAATAAAATTGAACGAATTCACTAAAACTATGCAAAATACCATGTTAAGTCACAAAATTTTGCGAATTAATTTATCAGAACTGTTATGCGACTGTACTAACATAACCCGGTACGGTAATTTAATATCTTTATACTTAAAAATTAAAGCTGGAGTTCCCCGAGGTAGACACATTTCTCCCGATTCATTTAATATTTATACAGCTGGCATTCCTAAAACTTTAAATACTATCATGGCCACCATTATTAAGACGACACCGTAATTATTTCACTTAAAAATAACCCAATAGAAACTGTGAATTTTCTACAAACACATTTAAATTTAATCGATGAGTGGTTATCCAATTTGAAAATTAAAATTTATCCAGATAAATCAATATATATTCCATTCACACTAAAAAATAATCCATATCACCTTCTCTCCATTTTCAAGGAATACCCATCCCAGTATACTCTATAGTAAAATATCTTGGTGTCATATTTAATAAAAGATTGACCTGGGGTCCTCCTATAAAATTATAAAAGGACATTCTAAATAGTTAACTTCACTTCGCCCAGTTTTAAAATCAAAACTAGTGTTCCACACAAAAATTACCATCTACAAAATCTCTAAAACGTCTAATTTAGAGTGACCATACGTCCTATTTTATATAGGATTGTCCTTTACTTCAACATTGTGTGCAGTTGTCCTAACAAACTTCTTTCAGAACGCTTTTTATCCGTATTTTCAAGTCTGTCCCATATAAATCTCATTTTTTGCCTAATTTTCTGTTTTAATTTATAATTTTTGAAATTGATTTTATAAATAAATCGTTGTATTTACGATATATTTGTATGACATTATTGAATAGTATAATACAAAAATCTATAACTTTCAGTAGTATTTTTGGATTTTTGTTTTAACCATAATAAAATTATTACTGAATCACATTGATAACTGATATCGACTACGTAAATCATACCTACGTATAATAGTATTATATTTATCGACCAACGCGACCGGCCGCGACTTGTTCCTTATAAATTATTTATTATTATAATTATTATTTAATTATTTATAAATAAATATTTTATTACTCCAAGTTTAGCCCAATAATAATAGCTCCATGTTGAGCACAAGCGTTGTCTTATCGGCAATCACACATATTTTGAAATGTTTGTATTATATTAGTACCGTTTCTAAAATTTACATTTTTTTTTTTTAAGTAAAATACACGATTAAAGGAATTTTAAGTATTAATTTAATTTAACCATATTATTTTATGTTTTTCAAAATAATGTTTTTATTTGTCTAAATTGTGATTTATAATAATTTAAAAATTAAATTTTTTATAATTAAAGATTAAAAAAAAAAAAAATGTAATAAATATTAATTTTAAAATATTCTATTTATAATTTTTGTCCTGTTTTTTATTAATTTAAATTTGGTCACCCTAGCTCTAATTGAGCCTATACAATGGAAATCTAGAGATGTGCAAACCTCCCCAAATATGTATTCTTCAAGCCTTCCAATTCATCACTCTCCGAATTTTTTCTTCTGCACCATAATACGTATCCAATATCATACTTTGAAATTATTTTAAAATGAAAACAGTAAATCAATAAGCCACAAAACATTAAAAAATATTTCACTTTAAACTACAATCAGATTCAAATCCTTTAATTAACGACCTTGCATTTAATTCACTTTCTAGAAAAGTCTTAAAAGAAAATAGTGCAGAGATTTATTAAATAAATAATGATGGTTAACAAACCATTAAAATTTAATTAAAAAAAAAAATAACGCGTTGAGTGTTTTTACTGAATGGCCTCTCGTTTCTTGTGTATCATATTTTATTGTGGTATTACTCAAAGTACGATGTAAAATTATTTCATTAGGTACCTACCACATAAAATAATTAATATAATTAATAAATATTATTACTAATTCACCGTATTCTAAACTCCAAATGGCAGTGTATTAATAAATTTGTTAATAATTATTATATTATATATATATAATTTACTTTTATAATTTCACAGTTCTTGATTGTAAGTTCATGATATGATTGACTATTTTTTATTTATTATTATTATTTGAAATAAGGCTTCACAGTTATAGTTTTTAACTTGTCTTATTTTTACATAAACATATAATTCCTTAAAATTAAGTGCTACATTTAGTTAACTTATATAGTTTACACTTATTTACAATATTTTAACAATATTTGTAAAGTTTAAGAATGTAATAATTTTCAAAGTTTTGTTTTCGTCGATTTCCTATGTTGGATGGCATATTAAGGTGTATTGTGTGCATTCCTGCAGTGTGTGCTCGATTTTAAGTATTTGGTTGCATGTTTCGCATATTAGGATTTATTGTGTTCTGGGTTTATTGGAGACAATATGTGGCTGTTGAAAATGATTTTGTGTTTTTGTATTCTGTGTGGTTGGTCCTTTTGATATTGTAAGTTATTGTGTCTTGGTCTCTTTGGAGTTGAAGAGGAATTTCACCGGCGTAGTTTAGAACGCTGTCGATTGAGCTTGTTCTGAATGCGCCAATAGCTAACCGGATTCCTTCATTATGGATAGGGTAAAGTATATTGGGTACGTTTGGGCTTAGCTGTATTGTATATTTGAGATCCATATCTGATTTTCGACAAAATAAGAAATTTTTAAATAATGTGTAGTGACATATGGTTTGCTCCCCAGGTGCGGTGGGATAAATTTTGATTATACTAATTTTATGTTTACAGATATTCTTAAGTTGTTTTAAATGAGATATACATTTAAGGTTGTCTTCAAAATGTATTCCTAGTCTATTGTCAAAACATGGTACGTTATTTAGGAGTAGGTGTTGGTTTGTTTTACGATTGTAGTTGAATACAATACATTGACTTTTGGCAAGAGAAAATTTGAATCCGGTTTCTTTCCTTCAGTTTTGGAGGATTTGTAATGATGATTGTAGAATGCTTAACGTGGTTTCTATGTTATTCTAATTGCAATAGATATAGCAGTCGTCGTTGAACAAGATATGTTTTGTTGGTTAAGGTATTTTGTTGAAGATGTTGTTTCTTGCAATTATGAAAATTATAACACTAATAACTAATCCTTGTGAGATTTTAAATAAAAAAAGACTAAACCAAATAAACACTTGTAATGTAAAGCTATTTGGTCACCTATAAAGAATAAAACGAAACGATTAACTCGATTTTACTAATAAATAATAACACTCATTCAAATCATCAGAATAGTTCCATATTAAAAATTTTATTATAAAAACTATATAATAGCTTTAAAAAAAAAAAATTATAATTTAATTTTATAGTTCTACTATAAATATAATTGAATTAAATACGTTTGATTTATAATTTATTTGTAATCTTAGATTGTGAAAGTAAGTTAACTGTCTTAAAATTAATAATTTTTTAACATTTAAGTACAATAAAATAATACTTTTGTATAACATGTCATAAAAGGCTTACTTTGTAATTCATATAATCATATTGATATAAATTTTATATCTAAACATAAAAAATTATTTCAATTTAACATTGTATTCAATTATAGTGAGATTAAAATAATTATGCATTATAATTTTCAAACTTAATTATAATATATTAAGAACTGAATAATAAATGTTTAACAATTATTGTTAAGAGTATCATTCATGAAATTAGCATAAAAACGTTTTTGCATTTACATTATTTTTTTCAAATTTTAATTTTATAAACAGAAGTTATTAAAGTCGTATATTTTGGTAAGTGTATAATTGATTAACGAAAATACAGATCCTTATAATTAAATATTCTTATATGACATTAAGGTTCGTGATAAGTCAAAATTTAACTAATTTTAATGGTAGATATTTATATAGGTAACGGTACGCTAGCTCCTCATGTTAAAAATAACATAATATGTAAATAAGTTAAAGATCACTATAACATTCCAAAAAAAAAAAATAAAAATACTACTTATAAACTGTATAATCTAAAAACTGTTTGGTTGTAGATAGTTTTATCATATTTATTATTTTTTTTATTTTTAGATAATGCATATAATAATATCGTAAAAACATATGAAATATGTAAGAAAACTAATACAGTATATTTTTTTGAACTGATTTTATTATGCTGATGAACTTTTACTAAGATATTATCAATAAAACTAAGATTATGATGTGATAAATATAAATGTAATTTAAAATAATAAATAAAAGATACAGACTATCAATTAATAATATTATTTTAATTATATCTGATATAACATAATCTATAATATTAATTTATTAAAAATAAAAGTTCTTATTATAATTCTATAATTTACGTAACTCGAGTTCACATGACATTCTTTAGTGTATTGAAACTCGACCTTGTTACACATCATTCATATTACGCATAGGTAAAATCATTTTGTAGTCGTCGTCATCGTATTATGTATATTTGTACATATACATTTATCATTATTACACATTATGATCTCTAAGTTGACTAGACACATTTCCCAATAACCATGAATGAACTATCCTCTTAGAAAATTCACTTTTCACGTATTCCAAACTCGAGCAATGACGTTAAGACGCAATCGCACAGTCAGGTGCCTATGTTATTTTTCGGAAAAAAAATCATTGCATTATTAACAATTTAAAAAATAAGGTTAATAGGTCATTGTCGACTAAAATAAAAGTTCTCCATTTACATTAGTTACAATTATTTTAACGTCACATAAAAAGATGGAAATTAAAACAATGTAAGCGGAATTCGTCTTATTTCACATCTCACGATAGGCTACACCTACTCTAATCGCCTCTCTTTACTGTTAACTTTGTTACTAATACCATAGTGAAATTTAAAATTTAAAACATGTTTAATGTTTATGCTGCCTTTAAAATATCCGATTTACATAGAAAATTTGATTCAATATTAAATGACTTCCCGGTACTTTCACTTATTCATTTCAAATTAATAACATCTCCTACCTGACCTACCTATAATTTAATTAGTTTGAAATGGCTGTTTACACATTTCCTTCAATCCATATATGGAGTTTATCTAATATACGCGCTATCCAGTTCAATGTTTTTCTCATATGCAATTACATAGACATACATATTTCTACTCCAGTTTCGGACAATGCATGATGTAGAACCTTATCTGATCAATAGTAGAATACGTCGAGTTACGTGTATACTGCGATGTAGAAATGATCGAAATTAAATTTGTTTATACCTAATATTTACTAAGAAAAAAAAAATATTAATAAATTCATCATTTTTTTAAACTAATAAATTAAGTTCATTGTTTTATCTACTCACGCAAAATGGGTACCTACTTTAATTTTTAATATACAAATTTATTTTAAATCATGTTATACTTTAGATTGGTGTGATTGCTTATATTAAGAAGCAATCAATTATCTAGTTATAAAGCAAAAACTAAAAATATATAATTAATTATTAATAGTTACATGCTTTCTTCTTTAGCTATTGAAGATCCACATTCTCAGAAAGACAAAAATGGTAAAAATCAAATATAAACGAAATTAGATTTTAGGAATAGTGTACTTCAGTGTCTGACGCGTATCTACCTATTTTTACGTCATATGCAGTGATTGGTACAAATACCCATTTATTAAAGCCTTTATTGTAAATCTATCATGCTTGATTTGATTACAAATTTAAATTTAACAGGTGCATTTATAAGCTGATCAATTTTTGAACGACTAGCGAATGATAGACCAGTGTTTATAATCATTATTAGTTGTCATATTATCGAACATGTACTACGTAGTAAGAATTTTCTTCTTCTTCTTATAATATAAAATGAGTATATTTCGCTTTTTTTTCCGATAAGTATAGTGTCCCGACCAATCGGAAAATTAAATTTTTCTTCGTCAAATATCTCCTAGAACGTTATCTCACATCGTTATCGTTATTATCGGCCGTATTTATTATTGTAGTTATTGTAATTATACCGTTTTTTCGGCTATTCACCCGATTTCCGCTCTTTAGCGACCTTTTTCCGTCGCGTTCTCGATCCTGTTGCGTAGAGCGCGTCTTTTTCGTCCCATCCGTGTGCGTTTTCCCGCAGATTCGGTCCTCGGCCGCGGTTGTATCCGTCACAGGGGCGGTCGCCCGTTTTTCTCTCCGCGCGAGTCGGTATCGCCTTTTTCGCGTCTGCGCGTTTTCTGATTGCCTGGAACGTGTCTTTCGCGAGCCGCGTGTCCCCGAATTTCGTTCGCGGCCTACGCAATCGCGTCCGGAAAACGCGTACTCGCGGCGTGTTCTCCGGTCGGTTATCGTATCGTCACGTATACTCCTGTTTGTTTTTTTACGATTCCATAAATTAGTTTTCTTTATATTGAATATGTGTTGTTTTGTTTTCGGTGTCTCCACCCTCGCACGCCTCCGCGACCACATTAGTACTGTCTCGATAACGTACGAAATACGATTATGTGTATAAAAAAGAAACACGCGTCGGGTTTAACAGATTCTTATGTGTATTACAAAAACAGATCACAAGAGTCTTGCTCTCGAGTCGTTTTAATATTTTTAATTGCATACATTTGGGGCGATATCGTGATATGTGTATGTGATAATAACCTTAGTACATCATTAAGACATGTACAATTAATTAATGTAAGAAATACATCAGAAACACTCTGAACGACAATAAATATGCGATTTACGATTTCATGACACACGAATCGTAAAAATTGTATTGGTTAAACGACGTGTAATGTTGTATTCGTTGCATCTCTATAACGGTTTAAGGACTCGAGATTCGATTACGGTTTACAATTCAAACGGTAGTCGATAGGTGTTAGGATAGGTTTCCCCAAAGATAGGTAGGCAGGTCCAAATTCCGTTTAGGCGAAATCGGGGCTAGCGATAACTGACACACGTATTCAGATTTTTTTTTTTTTTTTATTTTTAAATGTTTAAAATTTAAAATAACGTATTATTATAAATAATTATAATATATAACATGTAAAAATAACTTTTCGAATTTTGAACTGAACCGAACATTAGGGGTTCGGTTCGGTTTGGTTCGAGATTTGAACAGTTCGACCCATCACTAGTACAAAGTATGTGACATTAACGAAAAAAATGTTTATAATTGTTATATACATTGTTAATAACCTGATTAAAAAATAACAACGAATATATTAATTTTCTAAGGTTGTATTATCTTCTACTTTTTCTTCTTCTTCTGGCTTGATCTTCTTTACGATAAATTTTGCCGCTATCACAACTTCACGCCACTTTTCCCGGTTATGGATTATATTATTCCTGTCATTAACTCCTGTCCTTTTTAAATTGTCTTCGACCACATCCATCCATCTTAAAGTCGCATTATAAACATATTTATATAGGATTATAATATTTTTATTATTTTCCATTTGAGGTGCAACAAAACATACATAATGCTGGTGAAGAATCCACAATAAAACGTTTAAAAAAACAGGCTAAAAAAATGATAAAAACATCAAACAGGAAACCAAATCGTATTAATGTAAAAACTACTGTTCGAATTCTAATCCATGATGTTGATAAGGCTAGAGGATCACCTTGTATTTTATTATCATTATTGCCAATGTTCAAGATGGCTTGTACAAATAATATATAAATGGTTACATTAAAAATTGAAAGATTATAAAAAAAAAAATATTTTTTATTTATACAACTATATGTACAGAAAATGATTTTTTTGAGCAAAAATAACAGAAATAACACCATAAGACGAAAACTTTATTGACTTAACGGAAACAAAACTATTTAGCAAAATAAAAGGAAATTATTCTCCAAGAGGTTGCTAGCATAATAATTGTATTGCTATGAGTTAGGGATATTCAAAGGTGTCGTTGTAAAACAATACTCAAAATAATATATGCGCTTGTCAAGCAGCTAAAAAAATATGAATTCAAAGTACCGTTGTTGGATACAAAACCAATTTCTTCCAGCCTATTTCGGCATTGCCACAACACCCCGTGTGGCAACGTTGTGTTGTAACGCGTCCCGGACGCGACGCACAATTTTGACCTTTGTACCCTCTTGTGTGGGGGACGATATCGCGCGTCTAGGCGATCCGTCGTCGCCCCGGTCGCAGTTGTTTTGTTTTTTACCGTACATCGGTCCAGTGTGCACGACCAGTGCCACGTTCGTCGGCAATACCGCCATTTTTTTGTGTTTTTTAATATTTTATTTTTCTTTTCGATCGTCCGAACAATCATCACTACCGACAAGTCTCCATCAACAACAAACAGGTCGTACGCAATTTTTCATTATTATTATATTATTAGTTGTTGTAATAGTAACTGTCATGTTATTATGATTTGTTATCCATTAAGTTTGTTTATTTTTGTTTATTTGACTGATCATTTGTATATCTAATTGTTCTTTTCGTTTTCGACGCGTATTAAATTATATTCATTTATAACTATCAATTTATTTTGTTTTCATATCTGTTGTAAAGGCAACCCAGCACTCATCACCTAACTAATCAACCTTGGTACTCTTTCTTTTTATTGTTTTGTGATACAGTCCACTCTCCTCTCCACATCAAACAAGAATTTTCGTTTGTTCGGATTGTGTGCAGCCTTCTCGCACAACCATAGTAGTTTATCATGTGAATATTATATATTTGCATGATTATAATAAGTGATTTTTTCGATTCAAGTTATATTTTAGTAAATAAATGGAATATCACCCAAATTGTAAATCAATTGTAGGCATTTTATTTATTACTTTAGTCATTGTCAACATTGACTGGATAAATTAAAAAAATCTTTATAGTTTTAAACATCAATCAACTATAAAAGTTATGCTTTTGTAGTTTTTTTCACTGCGGTAGACGTTCAACGTTATTCACCAATTTTCGATGATATGCTTTGGTTAAACGTTATAAAAACTGTTCAAAAATTGATCAGAATCAGACATTTAATCGTTCTATACGATTCTAAAATAAATCAAATGCCCACATTAAATGCACTTATGTTACAATACATCTAAATACAAACATGTAGTTTTTAACAAAACATTTATTGACATATTTTATAATTGTATTTAGTTATAGACAATGCCAAGAATTCCAGCTCTCCAAGAGGTAAATTATATTTTGTAAAACATTTTTTATAGCTTACGTATCCTTAAATTTGTGAGTTTTACGTATTCTGTAAAAAGTCACATTATAATAATTACAATAAAAATCGCAATTAATACTCGATAGGTATGCAATATTTATTTTCCCGGAAAACCGATATGTATAAAGATTATATATTCACAAATGTAAATATGATTGTAGTCGTGTAAAACTTAATTTATAATTATTAATTACGTGTTCCATCGTTCATAATCTTGTTACTTTCTTCGTCAACAACTGCCTAACATGAAAAGAGTTTGTATATATATATATATTTATATATATTGAAATATATGCACATAAATGCAAATATCATAATATAAAATTATAATTTATCGTATTGAAATAAATAATCCTTAAGAATGAATAATTATTATTTAAATAGTATATTAAGCTAATTACTCTAATATATAGTAGGTATATATATATATATATATTTTTTAGAGATTGTACAGATTTACTACCAATATAATATTGATATTATTGAAGCTAACTCATCTGGTACGTATTCTATTGTACACTAATTATTAATAATAATTTTTTGGTAGTACATATTTAGTTAAATTATAAAATAGCAATACTGTGCGTGTACTGTGTTGATACCTAATCTCAATCAACTCAAACAGTGTAATATATCGAAAATAGGCTCACAACAGTTAGCTCCAGATGTTCAATAAATAAATAACTTGTCAAAAATGACACTTAACTATTTATTAAATTAGTGGACGGTAAAAAACTTTTATTTTATCTTACTTAATTGTATTTTAATCATATATGATAGTAAATGATAATGTTACTTATTGTATGCCAGTAAAAAAATATAATTAATAATAATCCACCAAACTGTGGTACAATTTTTGGAGTTGACAAATTTTGCCAACAGGCAATCTGAACCGTGTGATGAATGTGAGTTTAGGAGAAGGTAAAATAAATATAACAATGTTCGTTTTGTGTTATTTCGAGTTGGTAATATTTTCGTACGAAAGAAATAAATTTCGAAAAAAATAGTGTATAAACAATGTACAAAATAAAATATAGTGTGATGTGACGCTGTGCGTACACAAGAAAGAAACACTGAATGTCACGCGGTATGTGGTGTAAAGACCGACAGTATTGTGCGGTTAGCGATGGTGCGTAACGTGAGCGGTTTGGTTATTTGGAGATATTTGAGCTGGCGTATAAGAACTCCAGTGGACGAGATCGTTTAGGTTATACCGTTGGCGTGTCGTGCTGTTGAGGAGAGGTGCGCGGTGTGTACAAAATACATCACGGTACGAAACATAATTCTTACAATAAACATGACAAATATTTACAATAAGTACAATAATTACAAAATAATACAATATTGAAAATATAGTTGTGATAATGCGGTTATATCTCCACATTATTAAACACCTAAACGACAAAAAAACAATCGCCCGTCGTTAGGTCGAGATGAACGCTGGCTCGAGTCGGTCGATGGACATCCAGATTGTCTTGACCGCGTCGATTCTTATGAAGACGTGACTAACCCGGTTTAGGTAGGTACTAGGTAGGCACAAATGTGGTACGTCAGTTGTCGTGATTTGTCCCGGGCGTATATCGCAGCTGACACATTTTTGGTTATAAGTTATAACTTTTAAGCCATCTAAACAATTTGCTTCCGAATTCCTCTGTTCCCATCTGCTCAATATTTCTGATCTAAATCGATTTTATTCGATTTTTAACCCTTTGCCCTTTAGTAGCTGACCGATTGATTTACAAAAATTAATACGGTATTTCAATAGAATAACTCAGTTTCCTATTATTATACGTTAGTGGCTACTACACTATTTTTTATTTTTACTTAGCTTCGCGCCACTACCGGCGCGCTGGATAATATAAAACATAAAACTGTACACAATCTCCTTATGCAATGACTTAAAGCCTTGAAGTACAATAATTGTGTTTTTAATACAAAAAAGTAAAGTTATAATTACCAATACCACTAGAAAAAAACGATCTGATAAAACTGCTTTAGTTTCTAAATGGACCTAGGAATTGACTAATATTTCTGAAATAGATTTTCTGCTAGATTTTAATTGAATGATAAACCTCAACAAATGATTAGTTTTTTATATTACTATATACTAAATCTAAAATTACTTTTATTCTAGTGTATGAATTTATTATTGGTGCACGATAAGCAACAATGTTGAAAAGGATAGTTTTTTTTTTTAGAACAAGAAGATTTAAAATCAAAACAAAGTTATTGATTTAAGAGAGTCCTAAAATTATTATGCATTTACAAAAAATAATATTTTTTAAATAATTTATGTATAAATCATAATTTATTTTAATTGAAAAACTATATTTTGGAGATTTAATTTATCTCAAATTTAATCCTATACGATATTAGCCCTTAATCTATAATAAAAACACGATTTGATTGAATGAGATTGGTTATCATTAATAATGACAAATTTTTATATTTTATCATAAGTTTTAAGTAGTTTTTTGTTAATTTATTTAGTATTTTTTTCATTTTATGTAACATTATTTATTAATACAAAGGACAAATTTTAAACGAATTTATACCTACATAAACTTAAATATTTATACATTTTAAATTTACCTATTTAACATTCTAGAAATCATAAAAGAAAAATTAATTTATAATAAAGGTATTTATTTTTGTTTTTAGAATATGTTTCATTCGGTCCTCAAACATGGTGTGAAAAACACATCCCCATATTTATAAATCGAATAAAATTGAATAATTAAACTATCGACACTATTAAAAGCAAGTGAATATATCAAGCCGATTGATGAAAATATCAAAACTATTGAAAAATAACCTCAAGATAATAAAAAATATTATGTTTAATTTATTTAATGAACATAGTTATGTCATTATTAGTTAATTATCATATATGTTGAAATAATTAATATTCAAACTCAACGAAACACAATTAAATTGTATTTTTTGGTATTTACACTTAGGTTCAAAGAGCTGGTCAATTATAAATTATTTATCTAATATTTGTTTTTTTTTTTTTTTTTTATTGGCAGAGAGGATATGTAAAATATTAGTTGTTATAATAACGGCTATTAAAAATTAAAAACTTTAATTCATTTGAAATTTGACATCAATCAAAATAAAACAGTGGTTCTACGGTCAAGTATGTTTTTAGTGTTCATCGTAATAGATTTTATAACTTTAATGGATGTATTAAATTTTGAGTTGAGTGCTTTTTCAAAACTGCACTTCCTACTGATAAAAAACATCCTGCTTCGGATCAAAAGTTTACTTAGGTTTGTTTGCTAAGATCCCTGTTTGAACCCTTCTTTAAATTTCTAAGTTTGAAAAATTGGCTCCTAGGTTTTACCTCTTCAACAAATGTCAGGTCTACAAGTATGATAGACATAGCTATTATTCGCTACACGCTTACACAGTGCGCACATAATCTTATCTTTGATTAAAATGTTCTACTTAATAACACCATATTGTACTAAAATAAGAAGAAAAGAGGCTGGAAATTGATTCAGAGCCCAAACCATTTTTTTTTTTTAAATTAACAGTATATGAAATCCCCTCACAAGATTTATTCTCCCGGACAAAGTCTCAAAAAGATCTAGGATCGGCTTTTAGCTTACACTCAGTTCGAGTAAAGAGCGGTTATTAGCAACTTTTGAATTCAAATTTATAACGAGTCCAGAGATTAAAACACTTGTTTAATTTCTGAAACAACCGAACACTAAATTTGGCCTGATCTCTCATCTTAGAGCATATTATCTCAGGATGGCATTTGAAATAGAAATTAAAATATTTATGAGAGTTATCAAGAAGTGGAAGGCCACAGTTAATGGCGAATTTAATAACAAAGGTAGGGTGACAGGGAACAGAAACCATTTCTGATTTTTGTAGTTGTTAGAAAACACCAGATTAAGAATATCTCAAAAGTGACTCGAGACCCCATTAAGTTGGAAACAATTATTGAATATAAATATATTAATAACACGCTGCACTCTAGGACATGAAGACGAATAAAATATTAGGCTATAAACGATCACCCGTTTTCAATAAGGGATTGCACTTGCGCGTTTCAATTATTAGGACAGAAGTGCAGCATCGAGGTCACTCTTATGAAACAAGAGATTTCACTGGCACGTGTTTGCAATTATGAGTAAATTGCATCCTAGAGATTGTTCTTCAACAACAATAAATATCAAAAACAACTCAAAGGATATCTACAAAATGCAAGGCCTCAGACATCAATAACAAGGAACCTATTTTATTTATAAGGGAGCTCAGAGAACAGAAAGATCTGATGTACCATAACCGTTAAGATCTGAAGACTTTTAACCACTTAGCCGTTATTTAACTATTTAAATTATACTTTGTTTAATTTAAATAAAAACCTAATGTTCGTTAATTAATTGTATTATTTATGTTTAGCCACGAGGCTCCTACAAATCTGTGGTCGGCCTCGCTGACTACACCACCGAGAGATGAACTTGGAATAAACGTGGATAATTGCTTAAAGAGAGGTGACCATACAAAATATAAATATTCGAGTCGTATTTAAAGTATGGATTACACAAATATAATATTAAAATGTACAAATTAACGTATCACCAACGACGAAGTGTTGACAGTTTATACAATGATTGATAATAGACTAACAGATATCACAATCACTTTCGTCGTGGTGATAATAATAATAATAAGAATAATAAGAAATAATAATAATAATATTCGGCCAAATACGATCTAAACAATCATGGTACAATTTGTATATATAAAAATAAGATATGAAAATAATGACAGTATTTACGTGACTCCGTTCCTATGCCGATGTTGTCGTTGGTAGGTGACCAATTGACGGCGACAGTCAGTCCACTGGTCAGCTGTTTCTTCTTGAGCACGACGGTATAACAACAGGTAACCAAAACAAAGATAATAAGCTGATAGTAGACAACACTTGCAAAGTTGCAATTCACATACGTCGACCGATCGGTACACAACGGAAGTCGCGTTGTAATGTTTATTAATTTAGCGACGATCGGAACGACACAGACTCGATTCTAAACGAAGACCGCAAGGCAATGTATATATATATATATATATATATTTAAGTTTAGCGGAGTGCGGAGAACGCGACAACGATATATATATATATACGGTTCGGAACGCGAAAGGTGTAACCGTTTTGATTTCAAACACAAGAAAACCGACCTATGCGAAGGTAAAAGTCTAAAACAGGCGCACACTTGGACACTTGGACGCTGTTCACAAGACGGTCTGAGGTGGCAACGTGCTGAAAACTTGTTACTACGAAGGTGTCGCACAGAAGAGTCCTTGTTACCACCAAGGCGTCGCACAGAGGAGTCACTATTCTTTTTGCCGATGTCTCCGACAACACCAAAAAATAATGCTATCCGAAATTAGTGGCCAATGACCCTATATCACCTGAGATAGGGCAATATCTGTACGTAATCTTTACGTCGGTTATAATTCC